CAAACTTATTCTATTTGTTTCTAAATTTTATTTACCCCAGATAATTCAGTTTTATAAAAGACAGCTTAGAAAATAAGACACACAAAAAGAAAAGGTTTTGTGATGCAAAAAAATAATACTTCCATTTGAGTCTATGCATAATTTTCTTCCCCTCTTCACCAGATTTAAATGAGTTTCGTAAGAGTACATTTACCTTACACATTTAAACTACACTGGCATTACAGGGTTTATAATAAGACTTAGTAAGCATTATCATGACTATTTTTGTTTCTTATACAGTAGCAGATTTGCATAATAGTCCAGATGTTGGGAAGCTTGCTTAGAGAATGCTAGTCCCCTCCCAGTCTGCAGAGATTAGGCACACAGCTCCTACATCTCAGCAGTAGGTTCATTCTCAACCACTGGCATAGATTCACATTCCCTTCTCTTGCTCTCCTGCCAGCCTTCTGGCTCTGGCTAACCAGAGCACACCATGGCCACTTGGTGAGGATGCTCTAACTGCCTCCACCAATAAAGACACTAGTGGTAGTAGCATCACCAGCAGAACTTTGCTCTTTTATGTCTTGATGCTCTGCAACAAGGCACTTGGGAAACCAAGTGAAAGGAAATGTCTACTGCAAGTCAGGGCCTAAGTTCAAGAGAGCACAAATTCAGACGTACCAAATATGCTTTGTGCACCTAAAGGCTTTTTGCTCACTACTGAGACTCTTCAGAAGTTCATTGAACTCTCTCCTCTGGCTTTTAGACAGACTGCCTCGAGAGGCTTGGATCTTTCCCCTGGCATTTTAAGCTTAGGTTGCTTTGATTTATTTTAACCTGCATCTCATGACTCAGATGGGTATGTTTTAAATGTTTTCAGTAATTAAAACTTTGAATTTATTTTTCATCAAGAATATCTTTTTTATAATTTACAAAAATTACCAATAGTAAAGTCAGTTGTACATTGGAATTACAAATGGATAGAAGAAAGCAGAATTTGCCCATATCCAATAGATCTTCTAAATTTCTGTAATTCCAGAGATCCAAATTACAGAACATATTCCTGGCAATCACTTAATTGAACTATGTTTATTTTGTGGCCCACAAACTCCGAGGATAAAATGTATTTGGCATACCTTAATTTGCTGGTTAACAGCAATCCCATTTATACTATGTGTTCTCACAGACTGCCATAAAAATGTAGAGAATTCAGAGAACAAAAGTAATTTATTTCTCTGATATGTGAAACTACAAAGAAAACATACTTCACTAAAAGGCATTATGCAGAAGTCAGTAGACACTTTGTGAAGTACTGACCAAAAAACTTTTAATAAAGATTTTTATTACAGGCACTAAAATTTTAAAATAAAATACCTACATTATCTTCTGTTCCCAAAGGTCAGTAGCCCTTTACCATTTTTGCTGGTGTCACTGAGTTATCAAAACAACGTAAACGTTAGGAAGACTCTAATTTTTAGAGACACTGTGTTTGGGAGATACCACAAGACAGGAAAAGACATCAGTTTCAGAAACTACTTGTTTACAAAAAGGGCCATGTTTACAAAATAATGATGGGGTGATTTGGAGCTAACAGATGGAAGTAGAAAAAAAGTGGAAATGTCAAAAGTACAGTGGAAAAGCAAAGAGAAACTGGATTTATTTGAATAATTGATATTCTGTATACAAGAATGCATTAATACCTTTTCATAAAGGAACACTTGAAACTGGTTAAGAAGCACTTTGCCAAAAGACTGAATAGCAGCAAGGAAAGATTATATGTAAGCACCAAAGACAGAAAAGAGAATATAAAATTCAGAACCTCCCTGGCTAATCTAGTAAAAATCTGCAGTGGGAATCAGTCAGCTGCACTAAATGGCTGCCTACAGGGAGAGTCATCAAGGCTACCTCCTTTTTTATCACAGAATGCCCCTTGGAGGCAATGGCAACTAAACAACACTCTTGCTGTCTGTGGAACGGTAGCCTCAGTTTCAAGACACAGATGGGAACTTGGAAGGGAGTGCTTAGACCTAAGTGGGACAGAACTGAGAGCATTTGAAATTATTATATTTTGATCTCAGGCAACACTGGCAACTCTGAACAGTGATTTACCAGTTTTGTTGCCTGAAGACAACTCAAGAGCATGTGACAAGCTGAAGCTAAGACTATGTTCTATATTTGTTTTATTTGATACCTGCTTCTGATATCCTAACCTTAAGATCTTATCAAACACAAGTTCTTCACCACTTTATTTATAAGCCTAATATTGTGCATGAATCATGATTCAGACAACTCAGAGGTATGTAGTATGAATACAATTTCTGAGGAACCTGCATTCTAGGATATTCTAAAATATTCCAGAATATCCTAGACTATTTAAAAAATACTCTGTTTTAAAACTCAGTGAGAAATGAGTGTTTTCTGCAAGTCTGCAAGCACTGTAGGAAGAACATAAGGATGGACATTTTAGATAATAGCAAATGCTCATCTGCTCCAGAAGTGATTTTCTCAAAAGGAGATGACTAAACAATGTGAATGTAGGACAAGCAGTACTTCCCCTAATACCTTCTCAGCTTCCACCATGTTGTGGTTTAGGAATGCCATAAGCCAGAGGTGACCCATGGGCTTTATTAAACAAGCAATAGACTCTTTTTTATTATATTTCTGAGCATCCACTGAACCCATGTAAATCTTTGGTATCCAAAGAATTTGGGGTTGGGAGTTCCAGAGCCTCACATGAGACACACTGGATGAAGAATCATTTTGGTTTGCTCTGAACTCATCACCGGGTAACTTGAACTTAAGGTAGGTTTAGTATTAAATGTTTATTTTCTAAATATTATCTTGTTTAGTGAGAGTGA